GTGCAAATAATTTTATTATTATTTATTAAATCTATTTCCTACTATTTCGTATGTTGATATTTTCAAAATTTTATTCTCTTATTGGTTTCCTATTTTAATCTAAAAACGTCCAGGACTTTCAGCTCCCCCTTAGCAATTCTAATAATTTCACTTCCAAAATACTAACACAGTTATAGCGTTTATTTATTTTCTTATAGTGTCTGCTCAGTGGTGTAAATTTTGAAATAAAAGTGCAATCTCCTCACTTACAAATGCTAAAAATTGGATCTCAGGATTGGATACACAAATGCATTTAATTAAAGCCTGTTGCAGTTTTTTTGGTTACATATGCCTAACCGGACATGTTTTTTCTGGGTTTCACTATATGTTATTTGTACTAAATTTTGAACGTTATTCAATAAAATAAGTAATTTTCTATAGCTTACAGATTTAGTTACTTATATTGCTGACACTGAAATATTGTCTATAATCAATTTCGTAGTTTACTAGATCTGATAGTAAAGTTTTCAGAAGAAAACAATGACATAAGACATTAACTGTAACTTGCTTTTCTTGATACCCAGTAAGTGCTATGAATGAAATTGTATAATGACCATAATAGAATGAAGATTCGGGCTATAGGGCCGTGGTCTAAGTGAACTATTCCGTCCAGACGTTTCGTCAGCTACTGCGGCTGACATCCTCAGTGGTAGTGCTGCGTTGACAACGTGAACGTAGATTATATCTGGGTTGCGTCCCAGTCGCTGTCGAGACTTAGAGATATAATCTACGTTCACGTTGTCAACTTTATTCTTCTATTGTATAATGACCTTTCCTCTTTCTAATGGAGTTTTTTTTTTTTTCGTTTTCTTCAAAATATACATGTCACAAACATCACTTTTTTCCTATATCTACCTTTATTAAATGTTTGCAAATATTTGTGCAATTTAGGGGGAGATTTTTTATCATAAATCCAAATGGATGACCTTTTATAATCCTAACTACTATAATATTATAAATGCCTATCTGAATTTGCTTGTTTGTTTATTACCATTTCATTCTTCAACTGCTCAATCGATCTTCATGAAATTTTGTACACATATTGTCAGGACTACAGAAAAAGATATAGGGTACCTTTTATCCAGAAAAAAAAACTACTGTTCCAGAGGGATAGAAAATTTTTTTTTCATCTCGATAAACAGTATTTACTGTCATTCTAAGCAAAGCGTACTATGTTTAATCTAGAAATTTAAAAACTTTAACTTTATCCTAATGGTCCTTCCTCAGAAGTATTTATCAAATTATTGTATTCTCGATGATTTGAGAATTATCTCTGGATCATCCCTTAGTTAGCTACATTTACTCTATTTCACTCTAGCCATGACAACAATAGCAGCCGTGTCCACTCATTTCGTATGGACTTCCCCTGCAGTCCCACAACTTACATCTGCAAACTCACCTATAGGCGTTACATTAAATTCGGTAAGTCTTAAATTTGAAAGCACAATTAATCATGTGGCTTTGCAATTAATACGTAAATTTTCCGTAGAGGTCAGCATCTCACTGATTAACTTTTGACAAGAGGAGTTGTCATAATTTAATTTCCGAAGGAACAGTGAAACTCTTTCTCTTTGCTTAAATATTTATTACAATTTTATTTATCTACACGTATTTGTATTTGTCGATATAAGTATTCTTAATGGTGAGAACAAAAGTTAAATTTACTAGAAACCCTCAAACAAATATTACCAGCCACCCTTATTATTGTATCGAGTAATTTAATTATAAAATAGTTATTGGATACATTGTAATATTCATATTGCACCAATGAGACATTAGAAGCTACTTAATCTACAAGAATTATTGAAAATGTCTAGTCCCAATCTCAATTATGTATAAAATCCATTCTTTAAATTAATCTTATCTTGAGTAATCGTCAAACTGTTTCAAAAGCAGCAGGGTCGTTTTTTATTTATTTACACCATGTAGTAATCCGATTTCTCAAATCTAGTGGCGGAAACTAGTAACTTCAGATGACCCCGTAGATAAAAATCCAGGGGGTTTAAGGATCGAAGGATCGAGGATCGAAGAAGTCATAAGTGAACTTCATCATGACCGACTCAGCGATCTTTATTATGTTTCTGTTAAAAACTCACGAGCAATTTCACTAAAACGTGCTGCTGCATCATCATGCATAATACACACTGCATTCTCTCTGTTCTTAGTACCTACATAATCGGATTTGCTATTAAAAGAAAAACGCATATTTTTTTCGCTTATTACGTAATAATGAATCTACTTCTTTTTAAAATAATTCAATCTCAGCGTTTTGAACTTATTTAATTAGATGCAACAAAATGAACTAAAGGATTCATGAAAGACCTGCTGCCCCCTGTGGAGGATGCAAGAACTATTAGGCTAGAGTATCACAGCAGGTGCTGCCTCTACTGGAAAATTGATGATATTATAAAATTTTCATTTGTTTTTCAACCGAATACTTCATATTTATTAATGACTTTGTTATCTCAAAAAAATACATTTATCTACATTTAACACGTACCTATGCGTTAATTGGGTTTATAGACATCATTAAATGATTTAATAGTTAGATTGACATAATAAGGCTTTATTTTCTATTTCTTTATCTATACATATAGCTATTTTCGCGTATAAAAAGATTACCTACCTAAATACGACAAAGAACAAAAATCACTATTTTATGAAGTTATCTTTTCGTAGAACGTTGACTAGTGAATGATCTAAATGTGTAATGAATCTAAATGCATTTATGGATTTATATCCAATATAAATTAACCGCAATATTGATATCCAAATAAGTAAATAAAAAGACGACCAAACTTCGCCTTCCAAAACTGATCCGATCCACATGGTTAATCACAAATTTCTTACACCTAACTTTATTGTATGTATTTTTATCAGTACGTGCAGTGCTACATCAACAATAAATTTTTTTTATGATACAAAAATGCTAACTCATTGTTTAAAGAATGAAACAATTGTACAATCGTCAAGTAAATAGGGGATCAAAGCATCATAATTTGATGAAAGATCAAACAACAACAAAGTATTACACAACAATTTTAATTATCATACGTTTATGAAATGAAATGTTAATTTGAAACTTTTCATTGTAGTCGAAAGTAGATACGCAAGTCATGAATGAATAATAACTATATTATAAAAAACGTTGAGAAAGGTACACGAATAAATAAATTGTGATAAATAAATGCTATGAATACGTCTAAATTTTAAGTACAATAAACATTAAACAGATGAAAAGTGCGCGTACATAGGATTTGTAAATTTAAAAAAGCTTTTCACTATTTTAAATGGGACGAGATGTTAAATATACTTAAAAATGTTGAGATGAGTTACAAATATAGAAAAGATACTTAGTTTGTATAAAGAGCAACATCATTAAAGACAGTATAACTGTAGGGATAGATATAGAGGGGCAAAAGTAGTATGCTTAGATTTGCAGATGATATAGCATCTAGCAAGGAGGAGTTAGAGATAGCTTTAAATAAAATAGAAGAGGTGTTGACAAAACAGTATTGTATGAAAGTAAATAAAGTAAAACAAAAATATTAGTATGCAAGGAAAGAAATTGTAGGGAAAAGGTGAATATAAACATAGGAGGCGAAAAATTAGAAGAAGTCGCGTACCTAGGTGTCTAGGAAGTCAGATAAGTCAGGACGGAAGGAGTAGTAGGGATATAAAGCAGAAGATAACGCAGGGCCGAGTCGCTTTCAATAAAAAGAAGTCACTTCTAGGTATGCTCGCGAACGATTAATTGAGAAAAGGATTGTTAAAGTGTATGTTTGGAGCACGATGCTGTACGGGTGCAAAACGTGGACAGTGGGCGTGGCGGAAAGCAAAAGGTTAGAAGCGTTCGAAATGTGGTGTCACAGGCGAATGATGATGATACCGTAGATAGAAAAGGTTAGAAATGAAGAGGTATTGGAATGAATAGGAGAACAGAGGACTCTATGGAAGTCAATAAGAAATAGGCGATAGGTCTAGTCAGAGATATATTAGAGGCAGAAATAGGAGTTAGAGGAGTAGAGCTAGACCTAGATTAGATTACTGTTCGGGAAATGCGAAGATTAGTTCGGGATAGGAATTAGTGGAAGTGCGTGCCATCCAGTCTTAGGACTGACGACCTAGTGCTGACGTTGATGAACNTACGTACGTACGTACATACACACATCATCAAAAAAATTGGCTAGCATGCTACTAATATGTTAAAACGTGGAAATATAATGAAAATTCCGATTTCACTTTTCGACCCAATTACAATAACTTCCTAATGGGAAGTTAAAAATGGGTTGAATAATTGTGGAAGTCCATTTTATTAAATTTTTCCGAGACACAAGCAAGTTTTTGTTAGTTAAATATTTAATATTTTTTGCTATTAGATTAATCTACGATTTATTTTCTGTATTCGTTAGTGGCATCATAGTTCATCAACGAATGACTCTAATCGATTCGAATTTAATTGAAGTAATATTGACAACTAATAATATACTTTCAAGGTCTCTAATGACTTGTTGAAGTTCTAAAGATTATTGCTGTTTTATACAAAAACGATGAATTTAAATTTTGTATTCAAAAAAATGTCAAAAATAATATGTAAACTAATTTAGGTAAAATCACCAACATAAAATAGTTTAAGCGATAGATTAAGTACATAGGTACTTCATTATCAACATCATCATAAGGTCGTCAGTCCTTAGACTGGGTGTGACAAAAAACAAAATTTTCCTCATTAACATGAGGTAATTTATAGTTGGTATAAATGGAAAATGAATTTTCACATTAATATTGGATATATTTACCACTATTAAAAAATATCAAAGTGTTTCACTACTGATTACCTGATTACTGAGCTCATCTATTTAATTTCCTCTATTCGTGGTTAAAAAAGTATATAAATCACTTGCGTATTTCTTTAAGATTATTTTATTGTATTTGTTTGTACAAAATTTAGGCATCAAGTGTCCGGAAATTTGAAACCACAAAAATCCGAGTTTTCCGAGCTTTTTTTCAGATGATAACTTTAACTACATACAACCCTTTAAATTTTAACTTTTAGGTATCTATCTGATTGTAAGAACTAATGTTGTAATATTGTGTTTCATTTACTTTACAATTATCACAGGATAATTTTGTATTACACATACTCCGCATGAAAATATTTGCGATGTCGTAATAAAATCTTTATCATGCTAAAATTACGACGGTATATATTTTGATATATACGTTCCAAATTAGGCATTATCATGTTTTCTTACTTCTTTAACATATATAACAACGAAAACACAATAATAATAGCGCGCGCTTAAAAATTCCCAATATTCCTTGAAGTTGTTGGCTGTTACAGTACATGTGTGGCTGAGCTGAATTATTCGTTCATTTTATTAAAATTAGTGCGAAAAATATTGTGGGAAAATGCTGCTAAAGTATAAAACATCAGGCATCAGATATGTACAGTACATTTCATCCTTAGCTGGTATGTTTTCCATATGGTATTATAATAATTAGATAATATTTAATCAATAATATTCTACCAAAGGACATGTCCGATTAGGATTGTGAAAACTGCTTCATCGTCAACGCTTTATTATTAAGTGTTCTAACAATGAATTGTTGTGCTTTGGTCAAAACATCCATCCAATCTTGAAGCTATAACTGTCAATAATTAAGAAAATACGGTGGCAGTTGCAACCCCAGTCATTAAAGTTAATTTTTTCAATCTCCTAATAATATTAGGTCATCATCATCATAAGGTCGTCAGTCCTAAAACTAGTATATCCCACTATTTGCAAACAATAATCTAATCTAGGTCTACCTTTACTCCTCTTAACTCCTGTTTCTGCCCCTAATATGTCTCTGACTATGCCTTCTTGCCTACCAAAATATCTCGCCTATTTCTTATTGATTTTCGTAAAGGGTAAATGTCTAGACGATGGCCCCCATCCCCTAAGGGCTAAGGGGGTGGGGGTGGGTGGGATCGAAAGAGGAGGTCTCCCCACCACTGCACCATAAAAGGTTTGTGGTGGTTTGACCCCCATAAAAAGTTATGGTGGTAAGATGGGGGTAAGGGTGGGGGGGTTCGAAAGAGGGTGATCACCTGAGTAAAACGCCATAAAAAATTTGTGGCGATCTCACCCCCATAAAAAGTTATGGGGGTTGAAAGTTGATTATTTTGACAAATTTCATACACTATAATTCAAATAAAATTCACTAAAAAAATATTTTCAAGCGGGTCGAGGTGGGGGATCGAAAGAGGGTGGTCACTTGAACAAAACTCGATAACCTAACCTAACCTACCCCAAACATTTT